TACTGGTTTAATTAAATTTTAAACTTCTTTTACTGAGTATATGTGACAAAGGTATGGGACAGCCAAGAATCTAGTTAATCTGCTTCATGTAAATTAAATCTGCCACCTTGAAGTATGGATAAACAAATTCAATGAAACAAGTTCAACAGTTTACACCAAGTTCAACTGAAGTTAGGGTTTTAGTTACACCTTCCACACAACAAAAGGTTACATGTATTGCGAGGCCTGGAATACAATCTCCTCGCTCAGCATGGGCGGCTCAGACAGCTCCCACAAGGCCAGCACCTGCCTCATCCTTGTACCGTTGTGGTGGTGTTGACCCTTTACTTTTACATGTAGTAAAAAATATAAACGTTATACAAGAGCTACACCTAAACAAACTATCAGAAGTCAGCTATAGATGGTCACTCCTGTTTGTCCCCAAGTAGTTACTAGCAGGATGCTGCAGGAATCTGTTCAGCTTACCATACTCTGTGAAACCAGGGCCTCTGTTCTTCCATTTGTGTCTTGTCATTGCAAGAGGGAAATTTCGCCTGGGCATAATCAGCATCCTAACAACTTTTTCTAAGCCATTAATTATAAAGTAGCCTCCCATTTCCTGGCAGAAGAAGAAAAATCATTTTAATGTGCTTAGAAATTCATAACCCAGCATTTTAAGTAAAAGACAAAAATGCCTGTATTATATGTTTACAAACATTTAATGTTTTAACTATGAAACACATAGCAAGACATATGTTTCAGCACTGCATTTGAAAAGGCTGCACTCCTTGCCAGTGACTATTAAGTCTAAATGTAGCATACTGCGCAAGGAAAGGGATGCGTGTTTCACAGTTTAAAGGAAGAAAGAAAAAAACCCAAAAAACCTATTATGTGGTCAACTGAATGGCTTTGAAGAGCTGACATTAACAATTTTTAAATAAATACTCTGAAGTTCTCATTCTGAGTTTATAAACCAGAGGGATCTTCAGTGCAGAAAACCTCTTTCTGGTCACATACAAGCTTAACACTGATAATTTATAGCTCCCCAAACCGTATGCCATTAGACAAAAAGTGTTTCAGCAGCAAGTAATACTATGAATGAAGGTACAAGCAGCATACTAGGGGGGCAGCAATAGTACGCCACTGTAGATTTTCTTTCATAGTTTGCTGGCTCTTTTTGTGAGCGCAAAATACGGCACAAAATAATTCTGTATTCAATTCCCCACAGCTGACATGCTACCGGGGAGACGAGGAAAAAGCTGCAGAAGGCAACTGAGAAGAAAACGTCTTTCAATGCCTGTTCTCCAAATCTTTGTCTCCGCAGAGGCCCACTGACAGCTACATAGCCTCAGTTGCCAGTTAGCAGTTGAGAAGTCGTATACTGGAACTGTAGGTATCAGCACCAAACAGATCCCTGTATTCAAAGACAGTTGTGACTGCAGATTTTTCAAGATGCTGTATGGAGCCACCATAAATAGGGTACATTCAGAGAAAATAACAAGTCAAACTTGAAATAATATTTTATTAATTATTATTATTTAAATTATTAATTTCAAATTATTAAATGCTCAAGTTCTGTAACGAGAAGCTGGCCTGAGATACTGCTCATGTAAAATGCAGATTTTCCTGACCCACAAAATCCCCGTTACCTCTTCCTCCTCATGGTGCTGTGTGAGCTCTTGTGGAGAAAGATTATAGAGGTTGCACAACTTGGACTTCACCATGATTGGAATATACCCCAGGGGCTGTTTAATAGTCCCTTGTGGCATGCCATTCACTGACCAGCTGATGTCAGCCTAAAATGACACAACACAAACAGTGAGCATTATTTAAATAATAATTAAGCATTATAAGATTAAGTTGCTCTTTTAATCTTTCCTGCTATATTAACTGTACATTTAATATAACCACAATCTGTTTAACAAAATTCTATCACTGTAAAATGGTAATAATGATAATAAAAAGCAGAACTAGTAGATACATGCATAAAGATTACTCCATGGAAAACAGTCAACATGGGTTTACAGAAGAAAATTGTACAAGCCTAGAACTAGGTCAAGAAGCTGCTAGTAAACAAAATTGATACAGTCTACTTTGCCTTTCAGGCCCTTCAACGGAGCAGCCTAAATAAAAAAGGCAGCCTCAGGATATGAAAGGAAACCTCAGAAGTTAACAAACAGTTCAAAGAAAAAGTAGAAGAAAACCAAAACTGCCCAATGAAAGGACATCCACACTACAAGCCTGCAGAGACCTTTCCTAAGACTTCTTCACTTAATCACTTCATGAGTGATCTGAAAAGCGAGAAAGAAAAGTGTGTGTGGAAGAAAATAATTTATCTACAATAACAAGATCTGGCAGTGGGTCTGCAGAAGGACCCCTTGACTGTAAGAAACAAGGCGACAGAATGCACTGCGGGAGCAAACAGTCCTAACTTTATATGCAGAACGACAGGCTTTACAAGAGCTGCCACGCAGGAAAGAAACAGCACTGAAATACAAAAACATTGGTTTAACACCTGGCAACAGTTAAAAGAGTAAATCGAGTCTTAGGAATTACTAGGAAAGGGAAGGGAAACGTTACTGCGCCCCTCTAAATCCATGGTGCAGCCTTACACTGAGACCTCTACACAGTTCCGGTCTCCAGCTTAAGCGACGACGAAAGGTACAGAGTGGCTCCCGTATGAGCAGCCGCTCAGCAGGCCGGGGCTCACTTCTCACCTTGGGGAAGGGAGAACTGCAGGAAGAATCTGAGGGAGGAGTATGCAGTTAAAGGCAGCACGGTGGAAACAGAGAACAATTAAGCGCTGCTTCCTGCTGTGCAAGGGCAGGGAGTGGGAGAGACCACCCAACCCGCCCAAGCACAAGGCAATACCTTCTCATACAAGACACACCAAAATGTTTTGTTCCAACTGTTCCAAACATTTACAGGCGTTCAAAAAATAATTAAACAACCAAACGCTGGAAAAAAGGTGGGAAATAATTCAGGTATGAAAAATAAAAGCACCTCTCGCTCAGGAAAATCTAAGAGCCACTGTGAACAATCTGCGACTGCCCCACTTTCACGTCCAGATAAGATACTGCACTTACAGTCGCTTTTATCAGTGTTAGTTGCAATGCTTCGGACAAACTAAAAAAAAAAAAAAAGCTGAAATCGCAAGCAAGCATTCCCTTGCACCGGGTGCCTCATGCAAACGCACAGCTCAGACACAATTACACAATTTTAATAGGAAACAGCAATGGCTGTGCAATCCTTTCACAGTGCAGGGGAAAATATTTGCTGAGGATGCTGCTTCTTCTCTAGGCAAATTTCAGAGCAATTCAGAAAAACGATGAACATAAATCCCTCTTGTTCACATCATATAACTCTGGACCTCTATACGGGAGCCACACTGCTTTTGAAACCTGGATTCCTGCAGAAACAAGATTTGGGTTGTCACGCTCTCTGGGATGACACAGGTCTCCTTCCGAGGCCTTCTGAACTGCCTGGCTGATTGCACGGCAAACTCGACAGCAGAGTGAAGAGCACGGCTAGGGTCCCGTGGAAAAGAAGGGCAGCGGAGACGGGGCCTGTCATGAGCTCGGTTTGAAGGGGAGTTTGTGCAGTGAGCTCGTACCTCACCAGCACCCGAGCCCCCACGCGGGACAAGAGCTCTTACAAATCCTCCCGAGGCAGGTGAAACCGGGAAGGGGTCTTTAACTAAAGCACACGGAAACGCCTGAAGGGCTCGGCTGGCTTTGCTCCCCGCGGGAGCGGCGGCGTGGGGCGACCCCGCCTGACAAGGACACGCGTGCCAGGCGGGCAGGACCCCGCGGGAG